GAGAAAAGGAAGGGAAGGAAGGAATCAGATAATACGCTATGAGGAGGAAGGGACAGAGGAAGGAAGGAAGAAAGGGAGGAAGGAAGGGAGGGAGGGAGAAAAGGAAGGGAAGGAAGGATCAGAGCTTTGACCCCTGGCACCCTTGACATTTCTCCTAAGTGGGGAGCCTGCAGCTGACCCCCACACACACACACACCCCGCCTGCCTGGCCCAGGTTCCCCATTTATGCTGTATCTTCCCTGCTCCTTCAAGTGCCACCTTGCCTGGCCTTGCCAGCTTGGAGGTGGAAGTTATATTCCTGCCGGGCATTAGCCAGGTTCCGACCATCCTCCTCTGCCTTGGGCTGCAGGTTTGGGAGCAAGGAAGAGTACATGTACTTCATGAATCAGTTTCTGGAACACGAATGGACCAACATGCAGCGCTTTCTCCTGGAGATCTCCAACCCGGAGACCCTCTCCAACACGGCCGGCTTTGAGGGCTACATCGACCTGGGCCGGGAGCTGGCCACCCTTCACTCCTTGCTCTGGGAGGTGGTGGCTCAGCTGGATCAGGTAAGGCCCGGAGACCCACATCCCAAGGGGCCCAGCGGAGCTTCCTGGGTGCCCCAAAGGGCGCCGGCTGGGATGGGTCCCTGAAGAGGCTGCAAACAGACCATCCTTTTCCTCCTTTGCAGAGCACGGCCACCAAGCTGGGCCCCTTGTCGCGCCTCCTCAGGGACGTCAACGCCGCGCTGAGCAACCCATCCTGCATGCAGCTCTCCGTCACCAGCGATCCGGCCGCCTCCACCCCAAGCGCCGGCAACGGCATCTCCGTGGGGCTCCAGAAAATGGTCCTGGAGAGCGATCTATCTGGGTAAGAGCAGGCAGGTTGGCCATAGCGGTGGGAGGTAGGGAGGCGGTCCTGGCCTCGGCGAGACTGTGTGCTCTGGAGACCCTGAAGTGGAAGGGGCTGAGGCTGAAGGGGGAGGAGGGAGGCAAAGTTCAGTTGCACAGGCCAAACACACCCCGCCCCGTATGGCACCTGCCGTCAGGCATAGAGGCCTTGGCAAGGCCTCACAGGTGGTGGCCTCTCTACCCACACTGAAACTCAGAGGAATAATGGTTGGGTGAGGGTCCCTGAGGGTGCAAAGCTCTCCCGGGTGAGTTCAGCATGTCCTTCACCTGAGCATGGCGGATGCGATGCGCTTGCTTGCTTGCTGTCCTCTGCGTAGCGTGTTTTTCTCTCTCTGCCTCACTGCCGTTTCTCCTTTTCTTCTTCTTCTTCTTCGTCGTCTTCGTCTCCTCTTCCTCCTTCCTCTTCTCCTTATGCATTTTTATTTCCCCCACAGTCTGATAGATTTCACACGGTTACCGTCTCCAACTCCTGAAAACAAGGACTTGTTTTTTGTCACAAGGTCTGTGGGGGCTCAGCCATCGCCTGCCCGGAGCTCCAGCTACTCGGAGGCCAATGAGCCCGACGTCCAGATGGCCAATGGCAGCAAGAGCCTCTCCATGGTGGACTTGCAGGACAATCGCCTTTTGGACGGCGGGGGCGGCGGGCTGGGGGCCGCCGAAGCGCTCCCCGAGAGCCACCCCTCCGCCGGGCAGGCCTGGGCCACGCGGACTCAACAGAGCGGCACCATGGGCACTGCCACCGTGCGCCGCTCGGCACAGACGCCCACCACTCCCAACGCTGAGAACGCCCCTGGCCGGCCGCAGCTGCTGGCCCCCCTCTCCTTCCAGAACCCCGTCTACCAGATGGCGGCCGGCTTGCCACTCTCTCCCCGGGGACTGGCCGACTCGGGCTCCGAGGGCCACAGCTCACTCAGCTCCCACAGCAACAGCGAAGACTTGGCAGCGGCCACCAAGCATGGTTTCGGCAACCCCAGCGTCCCGGAGGACTTTGCCCGGCGGGCTGGAGAACTGGCCCGTCGGCAGCTCTCGGTGGCCGAGAAGGGTGGGCAGCCGACGATGCCCCGGCAGAACAGTGGTGGCCCCCAGCGACGGATAGACCAGCCCCCTCCCCCGCCCCCGCCCCCGCCCGTCACTCGGGGCAGGACCCCTCCCTCCTTGCTGAGCACCTTGCAGTACCCCCGGCCGGCCAGCGGGGGCCTGCTTTCCTCCTCGCCCGACTGGCCGGGCAGCGGTGCCCGCCTGCGCCAGCAGTCTTCCTCCTCCAAGGGAGACAGCCCCGAAATGAAACAGCGCACCATGCACAAGCAGGTGAGTGGGGCTGCCGGGTGGGGGGAGGTGGGCCAGGCCATGAGCCCCAGGCAGCTCCTCTGACGCCCACTGGCTTCTCTCCATGTTGGCCTCTCTGGCCACCTCACTCTGTCCCCTGCTCCTCCAGCACACAGGATGCCCATTTGGGACCCCTCTCTGCTGCTTCTGCCCACTCAGGAGGAGCCATATCTGTCACCAGACACCCAGTGGGGGGAGCTGAGCTGCTGCCCCCATAAACCCCAGCACCTTTGCCCTTTCTTATCACTTAATGCCATAAATCCTGGAGCTGTTTGTTCACCTTCAGCCCCGTCAATCTCTGTGTGAAACTTAAGGGCCACACTCAGCTTTTTGGGCCCCAAGATGGCTGCTCCACAGACCTGGGTCTTCCCCAGAGTGATCTCCCACTCCCATTTCCACCCCTTGGCGGGAAGTCTTGCAATTTGCATGTCTTCTTGGGGCACTTAGGTTCACCTCAGGGGTGGGATTCTACCAGTTCGCAACTATTCACTAGAACCGGTTGTTAACATTCTAAGCAGTTAGGAGAACCGGTTGTTAGAAGAAATTAGTGGGCTAATCCTGTAAGGAAGGCAGGAAGGAAACATTCTGGGGTTGCTTACAGAAACTGCCTCTCCGTTAACCCTTATTACATTCTTGGCAGGACTAGACTTCCTGTCTCAGGAACTTCTCTGGAGTTTTTTTTTCCCCCTCCTTTGCTGGTACTTTGCTTGTGTGGAGGGACCACTCAAAGTTAGAATGGCACTGAAAAAAGTGACTTATGACCCTTTTTCACACTTACGAATGTTGCAGCATCCCCACAGTCACAAGAGGCCAGGCGAGGAGATGCGTGCCTCGATGTGAGTGATGTTGAGTTGGCCACACCCAGCCAATTACATGACCACCAGGCCACATCCACCCAGTCACATGACCACCAGGCCATGCCCATCAACTAAGCCACACCCACAGAACCGGTTGTTAAAAAATTTGATTCCCACCCCTGGTTCACCTCCAAGAAAGCCAGCCGCCTATGGCTGATACCCCTTTAATAGCAAGAGCACTTAGACTTATATACTGCTTTGTAGTGCTTTACAGCCCTCTCTTAAGTGGTTTACAGTCATATTAATCATCCACATATTAAAAGCGCCCCCCAACAGAACAACTGAAGGGGGGGTGTCTTTGCTTCATCTGAAACTATGTGAGATGCCCACGCTCCCTCGCTGAAACCCTTGCAAAGCCAGGGCCCTGTCGAGCCCAGCCCTTCTACCCACCCCTGGCAGCCTCCTGGCGTGCCAACTTTCATGCCCCCATCAGCAGGGCAGAACCTGGAGGGAGAGGGCCGTTCTCCGCCCCTCTGTTCCACCAAGGGCGTTGTGCCCGCTTGGCTTCCACCTTATGCCCTCTCTCCGCCACACGGCGCCTTCCTTGCAGGCCCCTTCTCCGGTCAACCCCAATGCGCTGGACCGCACAGCCGCCTGGCTCTTGAACATGAACGTCCAGTTTCTGGAGGAGGAAAACGCCGAGCCGGAATGCAAGCTCAGGAGTAAAGACGAGCTCAGCCAAGAGGAAAAGGTAACAGGGCGACCACCGCGGTCTTGGCTTCAGAGCTCCCGGTTCTGGGAAGACGGAGGAAAACTTGGTCTCAAGCCCCCTAGCTGTGGGGGGAGTGCACCCCTTGGACTTTCTCCACCCTCTCCTGCTTCCTTTGCCCCTTCTGCACTTCCCTCCCGCCTGCCTTGCTCACCCCATTCTCCCGGGGGTGCCCCACCAGGCCTGGGCATTGTTTTCAAAGAAAGGAGCATATTTGTAGCTCAGGGTTGAACTGCGGGCTCCTTGGCGCTCTCTGAGCTTGGTGGTTTTCTTGCAGACGTTTCGTGACCCAACTGGGTAACTTTATCAGTGCTAGAAGGGAGTGGGCTTTGTGGAGAAGAGGAGGGAGAAA